TGTGTGTGTGTGTGTGTGTGTGTGTGTGTGTGTGTGTGTGTGTGTGTTTGGGTTGTGGTAGCCCTCTGCCAATTACAGGAAGTCAAGTTTGCTCTCTGGTGTAGGTAGGATGGTTTAATTTTATACCCTGGCAAGACACAGCACACAGCCATAGAAGGACAGCATATTAGAGCAATAAGGACCATTCAAAATCAGCTGGGGCAACCCCTTAACTTTCAGATGAGTGAACTGAGGCCCAGATGGGAAATGACTTGTCTGAGATCACTAAACCACTAATGACAGAGGTGTAACTCTGCCAGGTTGTCTGTCTGCCAGTTCTATGAGTTTCCTGGATCAACTCCTTAAGGGTCAGTGAAAAAGACTGAGATCAGTCAGAGGGAAGCTGTCCATTTCTATCCCTTTTCTCACACTCTCTTGTTCCAACTTGAGCTTCATGATTCTTCACTGTACCAGTGGTCCTCAAACTGTACTCCATGGGCCAGCATTAGCATCACCTAGGAACTTGATGGAAATGCAAATTATCCACCTCTCCACAGGATCTGCTGATCATAACCTCTGGGGATGGGCCTGGTAATCTGTGTGTTATCCCAGATGATTGTGATGATCGCTCAGGTTTGAGAACCACAACTGCTGTAGGGCTCGGGGCTCATCTTGGACCATGTGCTCCAGGGTCCCCTCCACTACCCTCTCCCCACCCAAGAAGAGGGAGGCATGACAGCAGAAGCTAGAGAACTCCAGAAGAGGTTGAGCTTTTCTCAGGATGCTATGGGGTGGCGTGTGTTCTTCGACAACTATACGACCCTCAGAAACAGGTTGTGGACCTCCACCCACAGCCCCAACTCCCAGAACTAGAACCTCCTCCAAGTCGCAGGGCCCAGTCCCTGCCTCTGCACAAGGCCTCGCAGGAACAGAGACTCCTGACCTTCAAGAGAAGTCACATATATTATTAATATGTTAACTTTCATATTAGAAAAATCTGTCTCAGAGATCTGTACCCAGACAAATTGCTTCTAAACAGCCATGGTCTTTTATGTTCATCTTTTTACATTTAGGATTTCCTGGACCTCGTGGGGAGAAGGGCTTGCCTGGGTTTCCTGGGCTCCCTGGAAAAGATGGCTTGCCTGGGATGATTGGCAGTCCAGGTTTACCTGGTTCCAAGGGAGCCACTGGTGACATCTTTGGTGCTGAAAATGGTGCTCCGGGGGAACAAGGCCTACAAGGATTAATAGGCGACAAAGGACTTCTTGGAGACTCTGGCCTTCCAGGACTCAAGGGTGACTCTTTTTGCCCCAATTATTGAACAATCTACAGAAAGCCTTATATTAATTTGTATACTTCCATGAATACTTGCATGAATCTGGGGTGATGGTTTAATTAAGGGGTTAAAATGAAATATTTTATTCTGTCCCTTCCTTTTGTGAAATTTTCCTTAAATGGCCTGAGCCAACTTTACTGTCTTAGTAATTCCAAAAGCGACCATAACTAATAGTCAAATTTCTTGCAAAGACTGGCTTACAGCTGGGAATAGCAACAAGGCTGGAGCTGAGAAGACAGTGGCACCTGGGACGTGTCCTGGAAGTTGGTTTGTTGACCCACTCACTGCTATCTCTCCAAGCTGTGATCATTTGCCCTTCTCTTTTATCAGGTGTGTACGGGAAGCCTGGCTTGCTAGGCCCCAAAGGTGAGCGGGGCAGCCCTGGAACACCAGGACCGGTGGGACAGCCAGGCACCCCAGGATCTAGTGGTCCGTATGGCATCAAGGGCAAATCTGGGCTCCCAGGAGCACCAGGCTTTCCAGGCACCTCAGGTAGGTCCTTCAGAGGAGGAGTCCCACCTTGACAGACTTCAGCTAGGCCCTGGGCCCAGATGTGCTGGGGCGGGGGGGCAATAGCAGTAGTGAGACATGGTCAAAATTTAGAATGAGACTTGACTTTCCTAAGCTCTCAAGTTTCAAATCTCAAGTCACCTTTCTAGTACCAAGCAGGACAGATTGCTGCAGGTTAGCTTCCAAACTATTGCCACAAATCTTTCCCCTCCCCCGGCCTCCTCCATGGCCTCATGCCCAGTTTTCAGGTTTTAACTCTCCCGACCTCCCCAGTTAGAGAAGCCACCCTCATCGTTGAGGGCGTCTAGTCCATTTCCACTGTCTTCACTGGGGCTGTGAGCAGCCTGCTTTTGGTTGGGGAGAAACTCGAGCAGTGTGACCACACCGGCAGCCTGCCTCTCAGGCGAGTGTGCCTCCAAGGACCCACGGCCAAGCGTCTTTTACTCAGCAGTGGGGCCTGACACTTCCTGCTTCCAGACTTGTGTTTACAGCTTTGCCTTTTTCTTGCACCACCCTCCACAACCTGCTTCGGTAACTGCACCATTCCCAACCGCCCTTTACTCCTGGCCTAGTGACTGAAGTTGAGTTATTTGCAGAGCCATTAATGTCCTTTTTATTCCCTTTGTCTCTCTGTGTTTCTGAGATCTTCACATAGGCTGCCTCAGTGAGAAAACACAGCACACAAGCTCACAGACTAACACCCCCACTGGCTCTGCCCCTCAGGAATGTATCTGATTATACACTATAACAGGGCCTTGCTTACAAGGCCAGGGATCCCCGAGCTCCTGCTGTGGGGTTGGCTTCCATTGAATTTTTCCCTTGTTGTGGAGTCCCCTTCACAGCCTCCCATTTGAATCCTGGGGCTTGCAGCTACTTGATGCTTTTCAATCCATAGAAAGCCAAGTCAGCCATTCATTTGGGTCCTTGGGGACCCAAATACCTCTGTCGTCATTGATTTAATCCTTTCGTTTTTTAATTTCCTTGCTTTGTACCTGAACATTCCACTTTGGCAGCAGCTCAGGAGGTTAATCCCATTGACCAACTTTAAAGCGTGGTGAAAGACGTCTCAGAATACCTAGGAGACCAAATGGGCCTTGTGGGTTTCTACAGTACTTGGCACTAGGGGGTCTTTCAACCTTAATGCCAAAGAACTGGCTGACTTAACTGATTGCTTGAGGGATTAAAAGGGCAGCCCTGTATCCAAGGCTCCCTGGGAGGCTGAAACAACAGCTCAGCTTTAACCTCTACTTCACCGATTGGCTCAGGAAACAGCCATTGTAGTGTGATTCAGACTGGAAGTACCAGGAAACTGGAGCCTACTTGCCACCCTGGCTTCCTAGAGCTCCATTCAGGGGCTAAAGTGTAAACCACATTCACAAAGGGACAAAAAGTTATAATCAGAAGGGGTTTGCTCTCCCTACCAGCTACTGTGCCATGCTGGAAGTAATAGCCATTGCTGTGGCACTCTGGGTAGTAGACACTAACACTTCAGCCAACTGAGAACTCTGCCTGTTAGCAGTTTGCGTGTGCTGGTGTTAAAGGGCCATTTACAAAACCTAACAAACCAAACCAATCAGAAGCTATGATATAGGCAGTGACCCAGATCTGGCCAGAGCCTCACTTGACAGCTGTCCTGTGTTCTCTCCTGTGCTGATTCAGGGCATCCTGGAAAGAAAGGAACAAGAGGCGAGAAAGGCCCTCCTGGATCAATTGTAAAGAAAGGGCTGCCAGGGCTAAAAGGCCTTCCTGGAAATCCAGGCCTAATAGGGCTGAAAGGAAGCCCAGGCTCTCCAGGGGTCGCTGGGTTGCCAGCCCTCTCTGGACCCAAGGGTAAGTGAAGTGATCAGTGAAGCTAAAAAGGAGCATTTCAGCTGCCCAGCTTGCTCCTTCCTCTCTGCCTAGGAATGGGAAATGGGGAGGGAGTTGAACAGGGCTTTTGTGTCAAGATAGTTGGACAAGGCTAGTGCTAAAGGGGGACCTCTGGTCAAGGTGAGTCACCCTCACTGCCTGCTGGGTGGAACACTAGACTGAGTATCATGGTCAGCAAAGCCCTGGGCAGTACCAGCCACACTGGGTTTACTCATTTGCGTAGTCCTACCATGGAGGCTGAGAGCATGGAGGCTATCAAGGTTGATACCTTGATAGCCATTGGTAGCTGTAAAAGTGGTATCTCCATTTAAAACCAGAGAAAGTGAGTGGTTTAAGGTCACACAACTGGTTAGCAGCAGAACCAGGCTAAATAGCTCATCTCCTTGCCTCCTGGCCCTAGGCTTCTTTTTTTTTTTTTTTTTTTTTTTTTTTCTGTGTCACACATGAGCTATAACTTGGTGAATCATAAGAGAGGGGCCCACTTTTTTTTTTTTTTTAAAGAGTTTTGCTCTTTTGAGTGAAGTGGCGTGATCTCGACTCACTGCAACCTCTGCCCCCCAGGTTGAAGCGATTCTCCTGCCTCAGCCTCCCAAGTAGCTGGGATTATAGGTGCCTGCTACCATGCCCAGCTAATTTTAGTGTTTTTAGTAGAGATGGGGTTTTGCCATGTTGGCCAGGCTGGTCTGGAACCCCTGACCACAGGTGATCCACCCGCCTTGGCCTCCCAAAGTGCTAGGATTACAGTGTGAGCCACCATGCCCAGCTGAGAGGGGCCCACTTCTTTCCTTTGTATTGTGTAGTGCTATGTCCTTATTCAGGAAGGTAGTATAATATGTAATAAATAAGAGTTTGGTAATGACTAAGACTTTGGAATTAGAGAAACCTGGGTTTGAATTCCTTCTCTGCAACTTCCTTGCTGTGTGACTTTGGGCAAGTTACTCAACCTCTCTGAGCCTCCATTTCCTTGTATGTAAAATGAGAGTAATAATAAAGGTTCTTGTTTTTCAACAGGAGAGAAGGGGTCTGTTGGATTCGTAGGTTTTCCAGGAATACCAGGTCTGCCTGGTATTCCTGGAACAAGAGGATTAAAGGGAATTCCAGGATCAACCGGAAAAATGGGACCATCTGGACACGCTGGCACTCCTGGTGAAAAGGGTGAGCTGGGGAATTGAATTCTGGAACTGCTGCCCATGCTTTTCAATATATATATTTTGTTTGTTGACTTGGTCATTCCTGAGGTTTGTACCAAATCTATGTAAGATAATAAAATTTTGGGCTTCTGAATTAAGTCATTTTAAACCAAAAGACTTAATCGCCTCTGAGTTCACACTGCATGTTAGAGGCCATGTGTGCCCATTCCCAGAAGACCAGTGGAGGAGGGTTTTGAGGAGAGTCTAAAGTTGCTGACGGACTTGGGATTTGTAGAAGAGGACATACACAGAAATGTGAAGTTGGGGGAAGAGGGGCGGGGAATAAGATGGAAAGGCCCCAAAACAGGGCTGTGGTGGTATGGGAAGAAATGATGTGAAAGGTCAGCCTTTGCCTGACCCTGCATCTAAGCTCTCTTTCTCACGCTGATCTCCATCCCTGCAGGAGACAGAGGCAATCCGGGGCCAGTCGGAATACCTGGTCCAAGACGTCCAATGTCAAACCTTTGGCTCAAAGGAGACAAAGGCTCTCAAGGCTCAGCCGGATCCGATGGATTTCCAGGGCCAAGAGGTGCTGGGGCAGGGGATGGATAGGAGAAATGCTCAAGAAAGGCTTCATAACCAAACTGGGCTTCCTTCCTGAGCAAAGACCCTGAAGTAAAGCCCCCCATCCCCAACCCCAGAGCAGCAGTGTGGCTGGCAGCAAGGAGTCCAGGAAGGCTGCCTTCCCTGGGCCTGAAGGCTGCCTGGACTTTGAGACTGCTATTTGTCATTGCCACTGTAGAACTGAGGTTTTCAACCACAGGCGGTGGTACCCCTGGAGGAGCCTGAGCACTGTGCTGCTTTCCCAGTGTTATGGCAGAAGCGACCCTGTCAATGCCCCGTAAGAGTGAAAGCATCTCTTCCCATTTCACCTTCACCTCTGAGCTAACTGCTCGCTGAGCCTACACTTGGCCTGTGACCTGGGGCACCTGAATCTTGGTGAGCTGGGTTTTTCTTGCCCAGTATCTTTTTCCAAGTCTTTTTATTTCTTTTACAGGTGACAAAGGAGAGGCTGGTCAACCTGGGCCACCAGGCCTGCCTGGAGCTCCTGGCCTCCCAGGCACTTTCAAAGGAGTTAGTGGAAAGCCAGGTCCCCCTGGCTTCATGGGAATCCGGGGCTTACCTGGCCTGAAGGGGTCCTCTGGGATAACAGGTTTCCCAGGAATGCCAGGAGAAAGTGTAAGTGTGACCAGATCTTTGTCTTTATACTAGGAAAGGCCCCCCATCTCAGGGGGATATACCCTCACTGCACACCTCTCTGATCCCAGCTTCCTTCTCAGCCCCTTCTCCCAGGACGTCCTCAGAAAGAGCTCTCTCCTTGAGTTTGACAGGTCTTCCCACCCTTTCCTGAACATGTCTTCCTCTGTTCTTTTGTCACATCTCCCTGACATGGCAGAGCCTTCTCCTGCCTTTACAATTATCCAATATCTGCCTGCCTTCAGTCCCCAGCCCAGGCACCTTCTCCTCCAAGAGTCCCCGAGCTCCCACCGTGCTGCCACTCTATACTTATCACTGCTGACATCAATTCTAATTGCTTCTCTGTGTGTCTGACTTCCTCAATGAGATTGTTAGGGCTTGAGAACAAGAACTACCTTACATGCTTTTTCCTCTGCACCCCACTGCCAGCATTTCATGTTAAGCCTGACACATTGTAAGAATTCGTAAAAACTTCTTGATGTTTTGCTAGAAAGGTCTTTGAAGCTCCACAAGGTGCAACAACTAGTAAAGAATCAAGTCCAGCTTATCTGGGCTCTTACAAGGCAAGGTGGAAGAGGTGGCTTAGCAATGAGACCAACCTGCATTTGCACCTCAGCTCCATTGCTCATTAGCTCTGTGATCTCGTGCACACTGTTTACCTTAACCTAAACCTCACTTTCCTCATCTGTAAAAATTGAGAATAATATTTAAATAGCCTTCAGACAGTAGGGAGGGTTAAGTGACATGACACATGTAAAGCTCTTAACATTGTGTCTGGCACACAGCCGGCTCTGCATAAATAGCAGCTTTATCAAAGGGTCTCAATGAATTGAATCACAGAACACCTGTGCTCCTTGCGGGCAAAGTCCCTGAACTTCAAAAGTGTCAGTCCATCTGGTGGAGAGAACATGGTGTGCGCGCGCGTGCACACACACACACACACACACACACACACCTGAAGCAATTGAAAAGAAATAGTTCTAGACTGGGTAGTCCTGACTATTTACATTCTAGGGGGATGAAAACAAAGTAGGAATGCATTCTGGGAGAAGTCCCAGCATGAACAGAGGCTCAGAATTAGAAGATATGGCAATGTGCCTGATGAAGCCGGGCAAGGAAGCAGCCACAATGGAGGGGTGTCCTGGGTAGTGGTCCAGTGCACACAGTGACCCAGCCCAGTACTCAGCCTCTTACCCAAAGCACTAAGCGGCATAAATCTTTACTGGATACTGGGTACATCTCAAAATGCACCAAAACCATAGCAGATATCAAGAAAAGAACTTTGCTGATGGCAGCTGACATGGCCACTTCCCAGACTCAGATAGTGTGTTGGACATTAGCCAGTGAAGGCAGCTTGTCCTCTGAAAATGGTAACATTTGCCCAAATTCAGACTCCAGCACCCGCACACATACCGCCTGCTACCCGGTGGCAGAAAGACCTTGTGTTCCTTGTGGAACCTGGGGCAGAGGGCTAACCATGCACGGTGAAGCAGAACTTCTTCCTATGCATAATGGCTCCAGAGCTTTGGCAAGGACAGTGGTAGCCAACTGTGTGTTGAGTCCATAGAGTGCCTGGCCTAACTGTCATGTTCTGCATTTTCTAAGAGACTCGCTAGAATGGCCACACTTTGTCTTCCTAAGGTTCCCATTTTGATAAGCAGTGGGATCAAATCCTTCCCCTACAAACCCTAAGTATGTGCTCTGCCCTTTGTTCATCACCTTCCTGTTTGCAGGATGTAACATCCCCACTTCCAGCCCACAGTCCACCTTTGCCACAGAATACATGATAGACATCTCTCAGGCAGTGGCTCAGTGAGGGATGAGGGAGTAAGAGGGTGGGCAGCCCTGAGCTCTGGGCAGAAATGATGATTCCCATGTTGCTTTGAAGGGTTCACAAGGTATCAGAGGGTCGTCTGGACTCCCAGGAACATCTGGTCTCCCAGGCCTGAAAGGTAAGGAGCATTTTTTTTTTCTTTTAATGTGTTCTTCTAGAGCAAGGTAGATTTCTAGCAGGCCCAAGGGTCTCTCTCTCTCTCTTTTTTTTTTTGGCAGAGTCTCGCTCTGTCACCTAGGCTGGAGTACAGTGGCGCAATCTCGGCTCACTGCGGCCTCTGCCTCCCGGGTTCAAGCGATTCTCCTGCCTCAGCTTCCTGAGTAGCTGGGATTGCAGGCACTCACCACCATGCCCGGCTAATTTTTGTATTTTTGGTAGAGACGGGTTTCACCATGTTGGTCTGGCTGGTCTCAAACTCCTGGCCTTGTGGTCTGCCCGCCTCAACCTCCCAAAGTGCTGGGATTACAGGCATGAGCCACTGCACCTGGCTGGCCCAAGGGTCTCTTGCGAGGGGTAGCAGAGAGACTGTTTAGGGGAAAGTGAATTAATTTACATTTTCCCTTTGGCCAAACCCCTTCTGCAGTCCTTGCTCCTCACAGACAATGCAACAAACAGTGGTACTTAGCAAGATCTCTCTCTCTGTGGCTTTCATGGATCCAAGGAAAAGGATGTCCTTTGGCTTTGTGGTTTTGCCCATCTGCTTTCCAGACTTAGCAGCGAGGAGAACTTCGGCTCCAGTCTCTTCCCCTGATAAACCCAGCCCACTAGGCAGGAAAATTTCCCATTCTTGCTGGCATCACTGTTCCGTTCTGGTGATGTTTGAGGGCCCTGCCTACCATCTTCTCTGCCCATACTGAGCCTAGTGATGTGTTTCCCAATGGAGATATGCTGTATGTAGCAGCATTTCATGCCAGTAGTCTGGTAGCAGCATCCCAGCTCCTGGATGGTGGTTTATCACTTTTTACCCAATAGATAATTTTATCAAGGAGCTCCTCTGGCTACACTGAATCTGAAAAAAAAAATGCGTTCAAAAGATCTCAGTAGTGCAAAATGAGCTATAGCTTCTCCTGGCCATTTAAACAATGTATTGGAATCCTCAGGAGACAACGGCCAGACACTTGAAATTTCCGGTAGCCCAGGACCGAAGGGACAACCTGGTGAATCTGGTTTTAAAGGTAAGGTTGCTATATTTTTGTCTTGTTTGCCTCACAGACTCCACAAAACTGAGGATTAGAAGGAATTTTGGAGGTCAACCCCAAGTTCTGCAACTTCTCTCTAGTGCAGAAATTTCCTACCTGTCAATTCCCCAAACAAATCAGCCTACTCTTCCTTCAAGACTCATAGGCTGGCAAAGACCTTTGGGATAATGGCCTACATCCCCTTAGTTTAGAAGTTGTTATCTACACTGTCCTTCTTGAACATTTCCACTCATTGCTCCCACTTCTGAAGGGATACTCATAACAAATTTACTTGCTTCTCAATTGTGGGGCACCTTTCTAATGTGAAAACAGCCGCCACTATCTTTTTTAGAGTTTCTTCATTGGGCCTAGCTCCTTCAGCAATTCAGAATCTACTCTTTCCCATGGAGGAATACACTGCTAGAAATATGGCCTAATCACTCAGCATTTTTCTTGATTTTATAGGCACAAAAGGAAGAGATGGACCAATAGGCAATATAGGCTTCCCTGGAAACAAAGGTGAAGATGGAAAAGTTGGTGTTTCTGGAGATGTTGGCCTTCGTGGAGCTCCAGGTACCATGCCACATGATAACCTTATTCTGAAAGAGTTTGGATTAGCTTCAAGCCATGCCCCATTCTGAACTTCTGCCTTGGTTTCACATTTAGGGTTTCCAGGGGTTGCCGGCATGAGAGGAGAACCAGGACTTCCAGGCTCTTCTGGTCATCAAGGGGCAATTGGGCCCCTAGGACCCCCCGGATTAATAGGACCCAAAGGTACGTGTATTTGGGAGCAGGCAGTGGGGAAAAGCCTTTCCCTCAATGAAGGACACCAACTACTTTATCTTAGAAGATACTAGCTAGGGTTAAGCCATGCCTACAGGAGTCATTGGACATGAGGAATCATGGGAAAGGTAGATGAAGAGTAATGAAGGCAGGCAAGCATGAGTGGGAAGAGAAGAATATGGGATCCATGAAGAGAAGAGCTAGCAAGGAAGGCAATTGCCCTGGCATATGTAGTCTTTCCCTGACTTAGAAATTGGGCAGTGAGTTTCTGGAACCAGTCTCTGGGAGCTAACAACTCAAGGTCTTAACATTGCTACTCTGAGTTCTTCAGGATACCTAATGAGCTGCCATCTGACTCCCAAAGCTGTACTGGTCTCTGATAAGAGTCGTGAGAACCTATGGTGTAGGGTATAGGTTGGGAGTGTTTTCTTCTTCCCTAGGGCATTAAGTAAATGCCTCAAAAAAGGCCAGGACTTTAAAATAAGGACCTTGCAATGCCTTTGGGGGCAGGTAGCTACCTCTTGCTAATGCTTCATGATTCAGAGTTGCTGGAGCCATTTTTGACATTCTCTCCCCTCAGGCTTCCCTGGATTTCCTGGTTTACGTGGACTGAATGGGCTTCCGGGCACCAAGGGTACCCATGGCACTCCAGGTTAGGAAGACCCTCAGGGTGAAGAGGAGGGCATCAGCTCTTCCAGAAGCTTGGCAAGGGCTGGCCATGAATTCTCGACTGTGGTGTATCCCATATCCTTGGACTCCTAGCTCTCCTTATCAACCTCCAATTTCAGGTCCCTTGATATGGAGAAGAAAGAGTACGGGGTTTTTTCTTCTATTCAAATTAACTTTCTTTCTTGTTACTTCAGTACTCTGCCTCTGGTATCTGTCAGTCAGGCTTCTCAGACCACAGTCAAGTGAGCTAGGCAGGAAGGCCTCACCTCCACTGAGGTCTGCTCCCTACCCCTGCATCTCCTCCTAGGACCTAGTATCACTGGTGTGCCTGGGCCTGCTGGTCTCCCTGGACCCAAAGGAGAAAAGGGATATCCAGGAATTGGCATCGGAGCTCCAGGGAAGCCGGGCCTGAGAGGGCAAAAAGGTGATCGAGGTGAGTCCAAGTCAGGTCTTGCGGAGGCTGAGCGAGGCCTTCCTGGGGGAGTCAGGTTTAGGGTACAGCAGGGCCATGTGGCTCACAGGGTTGGGCTGTGAGCGTCTTCACATCTCTGGGAGTCTCACAACCCAGTGGGAATGACTGCTGAGAAGGAGAGGATAGGCTGTGCTTAGCATTTTCCAGTGAAGACAGTCAGGGCACAGTTCACCAAGTCCATTTTAGCCTCCAGATTCCCTTCTGCTCCTCCTTACTAACCTCAAGCCTCTCTGGCATGCTTGGTCACAGCTTGGAATGATTGGTCCTGAGGGACAGGGCTGGTCCATTTAGTGAGAGGTTGGCTGGCATTTCCTCAGTGTCCAGTGTGGGTGGCACTCCCAGGGCCCTGGGAAGACAGTGTGGCTGCTGGAAGGATCCCAAGACTAAGACGATACAAGTCTCCACCGGACAGAACCACAGCATACCCTGAACTAGAATTTGTTGGGTTTACTAGAAAGCAGATTCTACCCTAATCTCGGCCCCTGACTCATCACATGGCCTGAAGTCCCTTTCTGAGTCTCCCTTTCCCCACCTCTCAGAAAGTAAGAATGACTTGTGTTCTTCAACTTTTCCTCAGGAAAGTTCCAAAAACCTTTGTACATTCCACTCCATGTTAACCAGGAAATGAATTCAGCATAGCATCATGGTTAAGAGTATGGGCTCTGAAATCAGACTAGCTGGGTTCAAATTCAAGCTATACCTCTCACTAGCTATATGACTTTAAACAAGGAAGTTACTTGTTCCTCAATCCCAAATGAGCCCTTAGTTTTCCTTTTCTATAAAATGAACATAATAGCAGAACCTACCTCATAGGTTTTTTGAGGAATCAATGAGGAGCGAGGTAAGATATACAAAAGCTCAGTGCCTGGCACATAGTATATACTTAAGAATGTTATTGCATGTTACCTGGGGAAATCATATTTGCAAAATTTCCTGTTTCTCTTTGCTCTGGGGCTTGAGGTCTCACTACATTTTGTTTATGTGCATGTTTGTATACTGTGTGTATGTTTCCCAGGGACTATATTCATATATTCATTTCCTGCTGCATTTTAAATTGACGCATCTGCTGTTTCTGTGTTTCTTCTTCCCTTTGATCTGGACCAAACTGTTCTTTTCTGAAAGCCAGCAGCTTCTCCAGAGGAAGGGCTCAAAGCAGGGTCCAAGCCTGCCCAGAGACTGCCTTCTTTCATAGGATATAAGGAAGAGGGAACTGGATAAAAGCACAGGGACATTTTCTTTTGTTTTCAAATCTTGACGGTCATTAGATTATTCATTTTCTTTAGCTATCTGAGATAATAAAATCATAATTACACATGTAGTAAATAGCACAGGTCAAGAAGGATGCATTTCAGCAACATAGCACTAAGCAAAAAACAAACATGTCACAGAGGAATACATTCGGTATGATTCTGTCAATAAATGTTCAAAAATAAGCAAAACCAACCAATACATTGTTTAGAGATATATATGGTCAAACTGAAGAAAAAGGAAGAGGATGATGAACAAAATTCAGGAGTGATTGCCTCTGAGAGTGAGGGAAGGAAGAGGGTGGAGGGCACACAAGGAAATTCAAACCAAGTGACATCTTAAGTTGAGTGGTTGAAACACAAGCGTTCATTGTATCTGAATTATTCTTTGCATAATGTTATAAATATTATGTCATGTCTTCTCAATATCTAATTAAAACAATTTCTTTAAAAAGAACACAAGAAATATCATACCACCCCCCCCACCCACACACACACACAGAAACCTATCTTTGATTTGACAGTGGGAGTCAGTGCAATATGATGGTTTACTCCTAAGAAAACATCGTAAGAGTGGTTGGGTGCAGTGGCTCACATCTGTAATCCTAGCACTTTGGGAGGCCATGGCAGGCAGATTGCTTGAGCCCAGGAGTTGGAGACCAGCCTGGGTAACATGATAAAACCCTGTTTCTACAAAAAATAGAAAAATTAGCAGGGCATAGTGCTGTGTGCCTGTAATCCCAGCTACTCAGGGGGCTGAGGTGGGAGGATCGCTTGAGCCTGGGAGGTTGAGGTTGCAGTGAGCCCTGACCACCTCAGTGCACACCAGCCTGGGCAACAGAGAAAGACCCTATCTCAAACAAACTAACCAGTAAAAAAAACTTCATAGAACAATCCCTCTCATTACAATACTGTTATCTAAATAACTTTCAGTGATACTATCTGTTTTCATATTTGCACTAAATATGTAGAGGCTGCATTTATATATTTTGTTTTTTCAAGGCTTTGACACTGGACTGAGTTGGAAAAATGGGCTGTTTTGCATTTTCATCTGCTCATTTAAAGTGTTTTATTCTTAAAGAAATGCATGAGCTTTTTGCAGTACTTAAAGTCAGTAGTGCCTTTATTTCAGGTTTAATAACACGTAAGTGTAATTATAAAATCAAGAAACAGTTAAAGGGAAAAACAGTCTCCAAAAACTGCCATGGGAACTTTTATAATCTGTGTACTGCCCATCACTGCCTACTCTATTACACATGTGGTGTCTTGTTTATTAGGTAGCATAATTTCAGTTTACATATATATAAGCTATATATCTATATACATAATATATGTGTAGAGCTGTATTTTCAGAAAAAAAGTATACAATATGTCTTTCTTTTCAGATTTTTACCCTGGGGATAAAGAAAAATATTTCAAAGGCTCACCAAGCCAGAAGTAACAATGCTATGAGTACCACCATATGGCTTAGCTACTAGTTTTCTTTTTGTATGTGTGTGTGTGTGTGTGTGTGTTTTTTTTTTCCCGGACCTAAGAGACCTAGAGAGACTTTTCTCAAAATTTATTTTTTCCTTGTCTAAATTTCAAGATTCAATTAATTAATGAGCTGTTTAAAAATGCCTGAATCTACCATCATTTTAATAAATTTTCATGGATTTACCATATCTTAGATTAATAGGAGAAATTCAGCATATTTTTGCATTTTTCTTGTCACAGAAGATAAAATTCGATATTAACATTTTTGGATTTTCTTGTCGCAAACAAAAATTAAGAATCTCAACCACCGGAACAGTTTATCAACCAGTTTGAATCCATTTATCTTCATTTGAATATCTTCTAGACTATCCCAAAGTAATTAATACATATCTTCCATGCTACATGAATAATATCAACACCTACATTTGTGTTTTCCCATCAAGATGACCATCTATGTATTTGATATGTGAACATTAAATAAATCTTCTGTGATCAGATGAAAGTTTTGGTTTCGAACATATTACAATAGAAATAGTTCCACAAACAGAAAACATGTAAAGCAGCATTAAAATTAGAGCAAATGAGTATTCAGTATCTATTGTAATAAGTGGTTATTCTCTTTGGCCAAAAGGGAGGAGGGATTTAGTACAGAGACATTTGTTCCATAGGCAATTAAGCAATCACTTGGCTCATATCATTAATGACCTATAAAAGATTGTTTTCCAGTTTGCCTAGAAATTGCAGAAGATAGCCCTAGAAGACACAGAGGCACCACACTCTTGCTGCCTCCATTCTAATTGGCCTGGTGTCTGTTCTGACTGGCTGGGGCCTGTGGCCTACGTTCTATAACCTTTGTGCAGCATCAGACATAACTGGCTAACTTAAGAGGTGTTTTTTGACACAGACAGTAGGTTTAAAATCACTTTGGAAACTTAAAAGTCCAGGTGCTCAGTCATGCCTTCTTTTCTTTCTGGTGGGGGAGAAATTGGCCTAAAATATTTCCATTACCACTGAGGTAAGGGAGCTAGAACTTTCCAATAAAATGCAGCTCCAGCTCTGAGCCCTCTTCAGTTGTTTGTCTGCTTTCTGGGAAGGAAGGATTAGGGGAGAAGAGCCCTCTGCTGGCGTTCTCTGGTCTGGCTCCTACCTAACTGCTTCCATTTTCTCTGTGTGAGCTTCCATTTTCTCTGAGCGAGCCTGGCCATCTTCCGGGCACACAGAGCCTATCCAGCCCCTTTTATTTATTCTTGCAGGTTTCCCAGGTCTCCAGGGCCCTGCTGGTCTCCCCGGTGCCCCAGGCATCTCCTTGCCCTCACTCATAGCAGGACAGCCTGGTGACCCCGGGCGACCAGGCCTAGATGGAGAACGAGGTAAAGACAGGAAGCCCAAAAGAGGGCTAGCCACCACCTCTTGTCTGACATTTGGGGAAGTCATGTATACAGCGCAGCCAAGTCCCTGTTGCTGGCCATACATGGGCGTGTTTGGCTTCACATCCCTCCCCGAGCGGGGACACAGGGGACTTCAGCCGGGTGCATTTTGCTGAAATGGTTTGGGAAAGTCTGGGCACTAGGACCCCACAGATGGTGAGGGAACATTCTCTGTCCTGGGAAGGGGCTTTGGAGTCCTGTCAGTCCCCAGGCCTTCAGCAGTGGCTACTACCTGCTCACCTGCCCCTCGTCCCTCTTCCGATCTTATCCCTAGGCCGCCCAGGCCCCCCTGGACCTCCAGGTCCCACTGGGCCATCCTCGAATCAAGGCAACACCGGAGACTCTGGCTTCCCTGGAATTCCTGGACCTAAAGGGCCTAAGGGAGACCAAGGAATTCCAGGTTTTTCTGGCCTTCCTGGAGAGCTAGGACTGAAAGGTACGGCTGCTTGGCTGGCTGCTAGGCCCTTCCCCACTCCACGGCCAGGGCTCCTTCTGGCAGTCCTGTGAAGAAAGGTCGGTGGCTGATGCTCTTCCCTACCTCACCCCTGCCTATCCTCCACCCCTACCACCCCTACCACCCCTACCATGCCAGGACCTGACTTCCTTCCTTTGGACTTTGTCAGGGATGAGAGGTGAGCCTGGCTTCATGGGGACTCCAGGCAAGGTTGGGCCACCTGGAGACCCAGGATTTCCCGGGATGAAGGGGAAGGCAGGGCCAAGAGGTAAGTTGAGAGCACCTGCTGGGCTGATCCAGAGTTTGAGGGAGGGGCCTGGTGGTAAGGTTCCTTCAGGCGTCATTCCTCACCACACCAAGAAAGCCTGGATGTCTAAAGCAGCTGGATCAAGCTACCCCAGGGAGGCAGTTTCTCTCCCTTGGGGATCCTTCAGCCTCTGTCACTTCCGAGGACTGAAGACCACTGCTGCCTTGCCACCATGGATCCTACTACTGACTGCCTCTCTCTCTGTTATCTCTGCATTAGTGGGCATTGGGTTTGCACTCAGATCACCACCCACCCGTTTGCTCAATTCAGAAATAAAGAACCATCTTTCGCATCCTTTCCCACCCTACTCACACACATACAATCTATTAGCAAGCCCTGAGGCTTGTACCTCCTAAATGTGCCTTGCATCTGTTCACCTCGCAGTACCTCGGCTGCTACCCCCAGATCCAAGCCACCAATAGTTCTCATGCAGCACCCTTCCTCCCCCACTCTAGCTATCACTTTTCCACATAGTGGCCAAAAAAAGCTTATAAAAACATAACTCATCCAGTGGCTTCCCATGGCATAGGAATGAACACTAACTGTGGCCCGCAAAGCCCTGTGTGATGCCTCCCTCTTCATCTTCATCACCAGCCCTTCCCCTTTGCTGCTCACTGTGCTCCTGCCATACTGGCCTCTTTCAGTTATCCAAAAACACCAAGTCCTGGCCTACCACAGGGCCTCTGCACATGCTACTTCTACTTCCCAAAGTGTACTTGCCCCTCTACTCTTTAAATAGCAAAGTCCTTCTAATGTTTTAATGGTCTCAGTTTAAATGCCATTGCTTGCAAAAGGCCACCAATCACTCTCTAAAACAGACGCCTCCACCCCATGCCACCCTCTACTCCCTCCCAGTGTCCCTGTGTTAGTCCTTTCCTCCACAACACTTCTCCCAACTTGCACTCAGATTAACAGTATTTGTCGAGTTAGGCATTATTCGTCTTTATCATCAGACCATAATCTCCATAAATATCTGTCATATTCATTGCTCTATCCCCAGAGCTACCAGGACCCTGGCATATAATAAGCACTGGGGAAATATTTGTTCCATGACTTACTAAGCAAATTATGCTATTAGAAAGGCAGCTGGCTGGCACCGGGTTCCTAAGCTGGGATGTCAACTGGGGTCAGAAGCATCCCCTCAGCCTCCTTGGCACTGTGTTCTAACCAGTGAGTAAACAAGCCACCCTGGTCCTGAAAGAAGACTCAGCTCACCGTATTAGCAGCAAATGCTTCCTGACTGCCTGTCACCCCTTGGGCCCAGTGTTGGGTCCCGAGGAGACAGGATGAATATGACCCAGTTCCTGCCCTCGTGGAGCTACCCAGCCACTGGGGAGAGAGATGGATAAAGAAGGCATTGTATAATATCACACAGTGCCATCCTGGAGATATCCAGATATCCTGTGGGGACAAACAAGGTAGAAAACGGTTGATTACAAGATAGTAAAGAAGGCGTCTAGGGCCCCACTCACCTCCCTCTGCCTCAGCCTGATGTTCTTATTTCCCCCACCTGCCCACAGGCTCTTCTGGCCCCCAAGGTGCTCCTGGACAAACACCAACTGCAGAAGCTGTCCAGGTTCCTCCTGGACCCTTGGGTCTACCAGGGATCGATGGCATCCCTGGCCTCACTGGGGACCCTGGGGCTCAAGGCCCTGTAGGCCTACAAGGTGAGGAGGGTGCCAGGGAAAGGAGATTTATTGGGGAGTTGAGACAGCTTGGCTGAGAGACTGGCTTGGACATCCAGCTCCAAGGGTTTGTCTTCATCAAACATTGCCTCTGTTCCTTCACAAAGCTCCCAAGCATCCTGCTGGGGAGAAGAAGGGCCAGCAGGACCAGCAGGGTGGTTGTACTTGGTACTTGGCTTTAGAGGATGAGGGCAGAGCAAGGTTGCTACTCCAGACCACTCGCCCCTCTCTAATGTGCGGCAGAGAGATGGAGGGAGTGTGGTGGTGAATAAAGGGCCACACAAGGCAATGAAGAAAGTCCAAGGCTGGGGGACAGAAAACCTGGCCTCTAATTGGAGTAAGTTAGAAGTCTGTCTGGGTCTCGGCATCCTCATTTTTTCTTCTCCTTTTCCTTCTCCTCCTCCTCCTTCTCCTTCTCCTTTTCTTCTTCTTCCTCTTCCTCTTCCATTTATTTATTTATTTTATTTTATTTTTGAGACGGAGTCTTGCTCTGTCACCCAGGCTGGAGTGCATTGGCGCCATCTCGCCTCACTGCAACTTCCACCTCTCGAATTCAAGTGATTCTCCCGCCTCAGCCTCCCGAATAGCAGGGACTACAGGTGCATGCCACCACACCCAGCTAATTTTTGTATTTTTAGTAGAGACAAGGTTTCCTCATGTTGGCCAGGCTGGTCTCAAACTCCTGACTTACGGCAATCTGCCCGCTTCGGCCTCCCGGAGTGCTGGGATTACAGGCATGAGCCACTGCGCCCGGCCTCGGTGTCTTCATTTCTGATATGGGATGCTAGAAGTTGCCCTGCATAATTTCCAATGTTGCTGGGAGGATGAGAAGAAGGGAGGAGGAAGTGGGCATGAAGGGGCTCAGATAGGCTAAGTCGAGGGCACTGCCCCAGGGCAGAGATGCCTCCATGAACTAAGAACTAGCCCAGGCGGCTGCAGCCTTGATGTGCAGTGTGCATACCAAGTCGACAGCCAGTGCACCATCTCCTAGTGAGTCTTGGGCATGACACACAAATCCCCTTTCCTGGGGAAGGCACCTGAGGACCCTCTACATTGAGTACCCTCCTTTGGGCTTTCTCTCCTGCAGGCTCCAAAGGTTTACCTGGCATCCCCGGCAAAGATGGTCCCAGTGGGCTCCCAGGCCCACCTGGGGCTCTTGGTGATCCTGGTCTGCCTGGACTGCAAGGCCCTCCAGGATTTGAAGGTCTGGTGATGCCACATTAGGAGGTGGGGGCGGGGGCAGGGTCTGGGAGGGTTTGAGGCTAGCGGGTGAGTAAAACTTCAAGTCTGAAACTTAGTAAACCCAGTAGTAGCGATTGACACTCCTAAGATGCTCAAAAACTGGGCTCTAAGTCCATTCACTCCTCACTACCCTCTGAGCCTGTGAAGGGATACCCTACATTCTGGAAGGCAAAGGACTGTTCCAAATCCTTTTCTGGGCTCTCTTCCAGTGCTTAAAAGGTCTATCTTTATGCTACAGATGGCCCCCTGCCCTTTACCTCCCCTTCCTCTTTTTTTTTTTTTTTTTT